TTCCATCCTCAGCACCACATAAAAATAAATACATAAAATAAAGATATTGTGTCCATCTGTAACCAAATTTAAAAAAACATGAAAAAATTTAAAAAAGAACAGTGCAAAGATGTCAAAATCACTTTAATCTGTCATGGGACTACAGGCACTGGTTAGTGTTAGATTTTACTTAACCCAACTTGTTACCACTATGGGGTTATTCCTGGTTTAGAGAACTATCAAATTTGATGGGGCTAATACTATCAGAAGTGTACATTACTGGATCAAGCACTGTCAGCTAACATTGAGGAAACTAACCTGATCACACAGTACTACCAAATACAGGATTGATTTGTATTCAAATTTTGACTATGAGTCCTCAAGGACAGGATAAGTTCTTGATTATAACATCCTGCTTAATAAAGGAATGTGGGTAATGTGTGGATAAGATTTTATTTAAATTTTTTAGGGCTGGGGCTATAGTTCAGTGGCAGAGCGCCTACCTTGCATGTGTGAGGCACTGGGTTCGATCCACAGCACCACATAAAAATAAATAAAATAAAGGCATGCTGTCTACCTACAACTACTAAATTTTTTAAAAAATTTAAAGAATTTCAGAATTCATACAGAATTATTGTCCTTAACACAGAAACTTGGTCACTTGAGTAAAATAATTATTATATGTGCTAAGTACTGCATTATTAAATTTCCTATTTTGTTAGGTTATTTTAATTCTACAGTTGGCTGCTCAATAAATGGAGCATCTAAAATTTTTTTTTGTTGTTGTTGTTGTTGTTTTTGTGTGTGTGTGTGTATTTTTCTGTACCTCTGGACCTCACTGGCTTTCATCAAGTCGCTGGTGGTGAATAAACACACATGAAAGTGCATGAAAATAAACATGGCAGTGAGTCTTTTTAAGGGATTTGAAAGGTCTCACACTATTTGATAAACTTAGGATTTTAAAGACTTCTGTTGTGTGCTAAGTTCATACAATGAGGTACTACATAAATGGTTTTTCACCAAGTTTCATGATGTTATTACATTTTTCAGGAATAAACTCATAAACTAATATCTAATCTGTTTAAAATTCTTTCCCTCTGCTTACGGTAGTTGACATGTAATTTTTATTCCTGAGGTGGTCAAAGAACACTTTTCCGGGCAGTATTAAAAAAATCTGAAAACTGAAATATTTGATCTGTTACCCCAAATAACCCAAATTTAAGACAGAGTGTGATTATTCAAAATATATTTGTGTCCAGGTTAGAACTTCTTTAACTGTATTTAGATATTCATTACCTTATGAACCTATGTAACATATCTAAAATATTAGTAAGCAAAAACCCAATACTTTTTTTTTTTAAAGGAAATTGGCCTAGTTTTTTCCTGATGGGCACTATGGTGAAATAAGGATGCTGACCTTTATCTATAGGGGTCAAAGTAGAATTTTATGTAAAAGATTATGGAAACCAAACAAAACAGATAATACCCTCAGCTATCATTAGTAGTGTTCCAAAAAGGATAAGTTTGCAACATCAGAGAGCCAAGAGCAACATGGAGCTTTTCCATTAAAGTCAAGGAGATGAGATAGTGATCTCTCCTCCTGGGTCAGGAGAACACCTCTCTACAAGATGAGGCAGGAAGTTCCTTTTCTTCTGAGCTTTGGTAGCTGAAGGAAAGCATTTCCCCCTGGTTGGAGGACAAATATTTAAAGAAACATTTTTGAGCCTACCGCCCCCCCCCCCGAATTTTATTCACTGCATCATTGTTATGAGGACATATTTACTGCTTTGTGACTGCAAATTTCAAGACAGCTTCTTTTACATTTTCACCTGATCAAGTTCACAAACCTACTGACCACATAGTAGTCCAAGAAGAAAGGTAGCAACCAAAGGAATCTGTGAGGGACTTTGTCAGAAGGCCTATGTACTTTCAAGTAAGCTTGTCTTTGAACATAAAACAGGAGAAAGTCCTGAAGATCCCATCATGTATATTTTTGTTATTCAGCTCTCATGGCCATCATTAGCATTAAGGTTCAAAGTAGAACAATCTATACATTAATGAGAAACATGACAAAGAAATGCATTTCAATCCTGAGGATCAGAAGGTGAACCACTATAGACTGAGTAGCAATCTCAGTATATAAGAAATCAGAAAGTATCCTTCCCACATCCTTGGGGTTTTGTTGCTGAAGGATTATATAACAATTCAGGACCTGAGGGATTTTAACCCTCTTGAGGGTTAAAATGTTCACCATGTGGGATCATAGTTCATGAGTGCAAGTCTTCTACTACTGCAAATGTTGACTGAGTCAAATGGTATTAGAAGACATGACTTTCTTGATATTAGTTATTTTCAAAGGTGATTATTATGGAACAAAATAAAGTATGTAAATTATTTAACAACTAGAATTTTAAAAAGGCTGACAACAAATTTTTTGTAATTTGTACTTAGTAAAGAACAACTGTCTTACTGTTTCTGGGAGAAAAAAATAAGTATTTATATTTATTATATTAAAATGACTTCTTCCTGATGCTGAGTTAAAATTCCATCACAAAAATGAACAAAATACTCACATCCTTTTTAAATAATATTTTTAGTTGTAGATGAACACAATACCTTTATTTATTTATTTTTATTGGGTGCTGAGGATAGAACCCAGTGCCTTGCATGTGCCAGTGAGTGCTCTACTGCTGAGCCACAATCCCAGCCCCTCACTCCGTTTAAAAAAAAATTGTAGTTGTAGATGGACAGAATGCCTTTATTTTATTTTTATGTGGTGCCAAGGATCAAACCCAGTGCTTCACACATGCTAAGCAAGTGCTCTGCCACTGAGCTACAGCCCCAGTTCTCACTCCCTTTTTTGAAATCTAAAATAGTGGCTATAGCACAAGTGTCATGTAAGAAAACTAGTTACTGAAAAATATGGCAACCAACAGTATATTCTAATATAAACCATGGACTTCCAGTGACAATAATGTCAGTGTTAATCTCATGGATTTTAACAACTGTGTCACTCTGGTGTACAATGTTGATGGTAAGGTTCTACAAGTATGGGACAGGAAGTATATGGGAAATGTTTGTACATTCCAAGTCATTTAGTATGAACCTGAAACTATTTGGAAAAAAATCTCATGTATACACACACACACACACACACACACACACACATTCTTATACACATCCCTCTAGTAATTTTTCATGGCCAAAAAATTCTTCCCTTTAGAATATCAACCAATGCTACTTTAAGTATGCCTTTACTCATTGTGATATTAAGGAGATGAACTAAATATCAACTATTATATTACATCCTGATACTTGCTTTTCTATTCTCAAATAAAATTAGATAGCTCTGTATGAATACCAGAAATATCACAAGACCTTTGTAATACCTACTTTCCATCTATACCTAATGAAAAAATGTCTCAAAGAATCTTAGAAATTTGAAGTAGTGCTTAAGATTTATTTAGGGGTCCATGCTTTGACTTCAGAGGAAATTCCTTTATAAAAATGTAAAACATCGGAATTACATTCTCCTCATAAAGTCAAATATTGGATCATGGTAGGGGACACACTTATTCCTATAAAAGTCATTGCAAGTTGGAAGAGTCTATATGGAATTTTTTTTTAAATGTGGAGGGGGCACAATAGTGCCTGCCTGTAATTCTAATGACTGCAGTGGCTGAGACAGCAGGATCACTATGTTCAAGGCCAGCCCCATCAACTTAGCAAAAAGCTCTAAGGGGTGGGGATGTAGCTCAGTGGTAAATAGCCCCTGGGTTAAATCTCCAGATACCGACCCCAAATAAATAAAATCATGGGAAGAAAGAGGGTATATCAGGGAAAATGAAAATAGAAAGCACATGGAAAAATGAGAAAGTCACTCCTCTCCTCTCAGTGGGCATAATTTTTTATTTTTGGTACAGGGAATTGAAACCAGGGGCAGTCTACCACTGTGCTACATTCGCAGTCATTTTTATTTTGAGAGCCAGCCTCCCTACGTTGCCTAGGGTCTTGCCAGTTACTGAGGCTGGCTTCAAACTTGTGATCCTCTCAAGTCATTGAGATTACAGGCATGTGCTAGCATGCCCCATCCAATGAGAGTCATTTTGTTTTGAATGATTAATGAAAGCAACTTCAGTTACTCAACAAAAGAATAAATCTGACTTATTCACATTTTTCTTTTGTACCAGGAATTGAACCCAAGGGCACTTAACCACTGAGCCACATACACAGCCTTTTTTATATTTATATTTTATTTTGAGCAGACCCTTGGTAACTTGTTTAGGGCCTTTCTTAAGCTAACTTTATACTTGTGATCCTCCTGCCTCAGCCTCCCAAGCACTGGGATTACAGGTTATTCATGTTTTTAAAATAAAATATTTCCAAATGAAATTTTTATGTTGCTAAATGTAAAAAGTGAATGAGAAAAGGACAGCTACGAGAATTAATGTTTCAAGTGTTTAAATGCATGTACATTTAAACTTCCACATGCTTGTTGAGTACTAAACTTCAGAAACAGAGCACTTTAGATCACTTTAAAAGAGATGGTTAAACCCCAAATAATTAAGTATAACTAGATGTTAATAAAATAAATCAATTGTAAGACAAGTGTGATTTGGGGGTAGAGCAAAACCAAGTAAATGAAATTGGGACATCTTTGTGGAAATGCTACAACCATAAGCACAAAGTTCAGCACTGAYGTTTTTGTATCTTGTTCAGTTGACAGAATCATTCTTAGCAGTTTAATTCTTTCAAGAACACAGATGTAGTGTGTTTAATAATTTTATAAGACCATAGAGTTGATTTTCTTTTGAAATCATATTTGCATTGGAATTGGCTTTGTAAGCTAAGGAATCAATACAAAGGAGTACACAGGTAAAATAGACTTTGTCTTTTTTTCCTCAAGGAATAAATAATGTAAATCTCCATGTTTTGGGACTGATGTTGATTCACTGAGGCCAAATATTAAAGTGAATAATCTTTATTAAAATGTACTTGCAAGCGTTAGAGAAGAAGTCACCATTACTGCCAAAGGGCTAGAAGTTTGATATGTACAACTTTGTAATTGCTGCTACTTACAAAACCGTTTAGGGTTCAATTGATAGTTAACAGAGTGAACATCTTGTGTTTAACAAAATGACAAACGTGTACTGCATTATATTAGAATGTCTATTATTGTAGCTAATGTTATATTTAACTTAGGTAACTTAGGTTTGAGTTTTTTGAACTGTAGGTAATGTAGGTTTGAGTTTTTTCTTCAGAGCCATCAGTATAACAGAGAATGAAGAGACTTTTCAACAACTGCCACCTCTTGCTGTTGCTGTTTCAAAAAAGGAAATTTAGATAGCTGTTATACATATTTCTATATGGAAAATATTCCAAGGTTTATATCAATTCTTGGTTTTTGATATTAAATACAAGCTACTTACAGTCTCCCTAAGAATTTTTTCCTGCAACTCAGCCATTTCTTTTTTCACTTTACTTTGTTCACCAATAACAAGACTTTCATGATACTCCTCCAGGTCTTTGATACTCTAAAACAAAAAAAAGTCAACTTCAGTTAGAAGGTTCCACTTCTTATTTCATATTACAAATGTGTAAATTAAATTTCAAAAGTAACAACTTTTGATATTCAGAGAGTTTGCTATTAATTCAAACTGAAATTATAATTAATATATGCAGATATAAATATCCCCTTAACATTTTTTTTTTGCAGTGCAGAGGACTAACCCTATGGCTTCAACATGGTAGGTTTGTACTCACACTGAGCTGCTTCATGAGCCCCAAGAAATTTTTTAAATGTCAGATCTGAGTGGAAGAATATTTATATGAGAGGAACAACAATCAAGTACTTAGTTTACAAAAATGGGTTGGTGAGAAGTTGTCAACATGGAACAGACATAGAAAGAGACTGGTAGACCTGCATTATGAAATGCCACACTTCTTAACAGGGTAATGACTCATTTGTTTTCACTAACAGTTCATGTAACATGATTTCCTTAGAATAAAACAGGCTATCATATGACCCTTCTAAATCTTTATCATTCATTCAATAATGACATCCAGTACACTATGGAAAAAGTACTGAGTTACATGCTGTGGAAGAATTAATTAAAAAATGACTACAATCTCTTCTGTATTCATATATATGAGCAAACATTTAAACAGAAAAAATATAAAAACTTTAAAATAGGTATGGAAGAAGAATTTATTGGGGTATGTAGCTGACAAGCGAGGTTCAGTGAGATTTAGAGGGCAAAATAATAAAATGTCAATAGGTAAAGAAAAGAAGTTAAAAATACTGTAGGGGACGAACATAAGCAAAATGAGGAAATGTAATGGTGAGTTCCTACACATGGAAGAGGTTATCTGAATAACAGAATTAAGAAGGGGAAGCCACTGATAGTTTTAGAAGAAAGAAGGGCCATGTTTTAGGAAGATGATACTACAAAATCTTGAAGGATGGATCGAGAAGAGAGAACTCAGAAAAACAGTACTTAATATTACAGGCAAGGAATAATGAAGTCCTGAACTAGGGCAGCAACAGCAGAAATTAAAGCAATAAAAGGTCCGCTAGCATGGGCCAGGCTCTGGGTTCAATCCCCAGCACAGGAAAAAAAAAAAAGGTACCACAGCAGGGGTAAGACTAAGGACCTACTGATAACTGGATGGGAAGGATAATTAAATTCAGGAGGCTAAATAATAAAGTTCCTACCATAACTAGTAACATTTATGAATAACATTTAGAAGAAAACTTTTCTATTTACTTCTTCATACCAACTTGTTAATGGTTCTAAGGGAACATTAGAGCTGCATGTTCTCAACTTGCAAGCTCTTTCTAAATAAGTGCTTTTTATAAAGATGACTCTGTAGTTCCTGAAAGAATTTTTAGAATAATTTAATTATTTACTGAAACACCTCAATTAGTTAAGAGTGACATTTTAATGTACATCTTAAAGAGACTATTAAAAAGAACCCCCCCAAAGGATTTTTAACTCCTAAATAATATGCATCTACATGAATAAGAGGTCAATGTTATTGAGGAAAATTAGCTGATGCGCAAATATGACAGAAGAACATTCTCAATTCACAAAGGGTTAATCTTCCACCTGTTTTTTCATCCTGGTAATCATAAGTTGGAACATAAAACCATTCTTACTCATTAATAATTCTATAGGTAAATATGCCATAGAACACTTATGAACTACACTAGAAAATGAAAGAGTTACTGAGTAGTTATATTTGCCTACTTCCTATTTAATGAAAGCTGTCCATAGAAGACAAGTAAAAGAAAAGTAGAAATGATTTATCGACTTGCTGCTCTTCACTACATATTATCAATTTGAACATAAAAACATCATTATAGTGTTAATAAAGCATCGATGTTATATACAAAATGTATATTTCTAGGTAAAATTCCCAACTTTACTTCTGTTTTAAATAACTCTCACAACTATTAATGGTTTCTAAAATTAAAAGTTCATGTAAAAATTATGGTAATTCTAGAAAAATAAATTTGAGTATGATTAACAATTTTTAACACATAATCAAACTGCTTTACCATGAATTCAGAAAGAACCAATCAGTCTTGTAATTCTACATATATATTGTATTTGATGAGAATGTATTGTTTACCAAGTACAACACAACAGACCTTTAGCAATTGCTCGTACAAATTTTTAATTTCTTTAACTTTCTCACGCTGAATAATTCTAGATTGAAGAAAAAGCTTTCTTTGCTCTTGAAACATATTCTAAAAAGATAAAATGAAAAGTGATAAAATTTGAATAAATTTTAACATTTAAAAATCAAATCTATAAATCTTAGTTGAAAGAAATACACTTTAAATTAATAACTGTTAATTTGTTTTAATGTTTATATCCAATTTTAAATAATTGCATTTCAACTCCAATAAACCCAAACAAAATAATACAATCATCCTTTGTATCACTCATTGAATAGGACATTTTATTACCAATATTCAAATAAATGTATTAATTATTGATTTCAAATTCAACAGATGACACTTCTAATAATCTGTTTACCACAAGCAGACAGAATCTAAAGTCCTACCTAGCAGAAATTAAGTAGGGAATATTTCTTCTTATCCAATATTCAAAAATAATACTAATTCCTGCTCATTTCAATATACACAGGGCTAGAACTTCCAGTGATGTAAGCCTCTCTATTCCTTGACCGACTCTCCAACAATAATTTCATACTGTTCCCTACTTGCCACTCCCAGAGTCAAACTCTAGATTTTTCATGCTCAATAACTGCAGAATCTACATAATACAAACAATAGCAAAGATATATAGGAAACTTATGTTAAAACACTGTTCTGAAGCATTTTAAACTAACTCATCAAAAAATAACTCATTTACTATTCAAAACAACTTTGTGAGATAGATACTCTTTAGTGTGTCCTCTTTCACTAAAAAGAAAACAGAGAGCAGATATAAATAATTTGCTGGTGGTTTCACAGTGAGCAGCTAGCTGAAATACTTTTAGATCCCAAACAGTCTGATTCCAGAGTCCAGGCTCCTGACCACTGTACTGCACCATATCTCCATTTTTACAATGTTCAGCCACTACTTCCCTACCTTTGTAAGTCACTCTCTTCAATATTGTGGCTCAGTAGTCTTAAAAGATCTAAATTCCCTCAAATGGAGCACTTTTCACTGTCTAATATGCTGTCCCCATGTCCTCACGTTTCTCAGTCCCAGATGACATTCCATAGTCAGTTAGCAGACACCTATTATTGCCTATACACTGTGACCCCTTCTCCCTTCATCAATGTACTTGGATAAACCCAAACCTCTCAAATCCAACTCTCTACATGTTCTGCCAAGCCAAGCTGCCTGCTCCCGCTGTAAAGTCATGATCACTATGTTATGAACTTAAGTTGAACCCTATCGCCTCTTGGCATTTCTGTTTCCCTTGTCTGTCTACAGAACCACTCTCGAGAAACAATTCCCTGCCTTCTCTTTTGTCCTGAAAGCAGCATCTGCTCCCCATCCTTAGTTCCAGATGATGACCTCACCACTTCTCTGAAGAAACACAAGCAATCCCAACAGGAAGTCCTATCTCCCATCACCACATCTTCCACCCACCTTTGCCCAGCTAGCCTTAAGTCCTCTACCTTCTCTCCTGAATTTTTGCATGAACTGTTGCTACTTGAGATTTTGATATAATAGATTAATCATAAAGCTAAGCCTGATACCAACAGCTAGTTTTTCTTCTTGCTCCTCAGCTTTCTGTACTTCTATGTCCCACTGTTGAAACAAAGGCAGAAATTGCTGAGAATATTTGTAATGAAGATTCTGCCTATAAAACATAATAATGAACATGGTCATACTGCATAAACGTATGAAAAATATATTCAAAACAAAAGTGATTGACATAATTTCACATAATTTATACCATGAAAGGATAATAAAAGTAGCTAAAATCTTCTCATGAGAAAGAGAAAAGCAAAATGATTTACTCTCATTATAAAAATATTTATTCCTAAGTGACTATTAGAGAAGCTAGTTCACCTGCTTAACAGCTTGAAAACTGAGGACTGCAGTATAAATTTCCCACAAATACTTAATTGATATAAAAGCAGTTTAATTTTCAATTCCTCTTACTAAATAACATAGATTCTGGCATTAGAAGTTAGATTTAATGTGGATAACATATCCATTCACTGTGTAACACTTCCAGACAGGAATATTTCTCTTAACTATTTCTCCATATTGCCACAATTAATTTTGCAAAAAGAGCAGAGAATGAAATTCAGCTAAAAACATAAATTATTTGCAATATGAACTACCTTTTCTATATAACTGAATACTGTTAACACTCACAGGATTGATAATTGGACATTTGTCTTATATTCAGTTAACATATTATAATAAATGTATATAAATCAACTTTATAGGGAAAATACTATTATCTCAAAGGCAAAAGAGGTAATCTTATTGTCTTCTAGGTAATATACTTCAGTACTTGTGAAACTAAGGTTAAAAAATTATCTGTTTAGAGAAAAATCAAGCAAAATACTTTGTCATATCAGGGATTGAACCCAGAGGCCCTCTACCACTGAGCCACACCCCTGCCCTTTTTATTTCTTAATAAATTTCTCAGGCTGGCCTTGAAGTTTCAATCCTTCTGCCTCAGTCTCCCAATTTGCTGGGATTATAGGTGTGCGCCACCACACCCAGCTACAAAACACATTTTTAATTGGAGATTCTAATAAATGCATGGTGATAATTGGAGTGCAAAGATTTATGCATGAATAGTTATATATATACACACATACACACACACACACACACACATATATATGTATGCATATATGTATACACACACACATACCAGTATTGTGATTCCAAAAACAAAACTTTACCTTTGCTCTTGTTGTATTTTGCGAATATGTTCAATATTTTCATTAATAATTTTGAGAGAAGCATCTGTATTCATTTCAAACCGTTTTCTTCTAGCAAGAAGAGCTTGTGTGATGTCAGCTAAATATAAAATAAATTTTCACTAAGTGGCTATTGAAAATTATTTTTGCTCCCATATATCCGTACCCATATGGGAAATGTTGATTCAGCAATATTGGAAAGACATTTAAAATTTATAAAACAGACATCATTTAAAAGCAAGATTTTCTCACTTATATTCTATGAACATATTGGTAATAGTAATACAATTCTCATTTATCAAACTGCAGGTCACCTTTTAAATTAGATAAAAATTCTAATAGTCAAAATAATTTATATTTTTTAAAAATGTATACAAAGAAGCATAAAAAAGAATTTATAATTTCCTCTTGAGAAGCAGTTAATGAGTCAAATTTTATAATTTATTAAAGGTCCTCTAATTCAAAGGGCACTCCTAGGATGGAATATTGTTAGAGTTCATTTCATAAAATACACAAAAGTACTTTATTTAAAAAGTCTATCAAAGAGAGAGAAATAAATATACTGTAATAAAAATAAATATTTATAAATCATGCAGTGGGTGATGCTTTTAACTATATTTTACTAAGAGACAGTATTCATGGTCATAAGAATTCCAGGTTTACATAAGTAAATAAATATAATTAAGAGCACTTTTTAAATATTTTCATGGATGTTGTAAAAGATGTTTATTTGTAACTGCAGTGTTTCTCATAAAATATTACTACTAGAAAGTAATACAATACTAAGGATATGACTTTACATCAAGATCTACTACCAACAGCTATTTATCAATACTCATGGTGTCCATCTATAACAAATAATTAATTGCACACCTCACAATACAAGCATTTTCAGCACCAAATAAACCAAAGCTTTCAAAACATAATCCTTTGTATTAATTATCTCTATAGCAGAGCCAAAAGTTGATAAATACGCTGTTAACATTATAGACTTTACAGTATATAGAAATAAAAGAAATTTATTCAGTTTGTTTGTTTGCTTGTTTATTTATGGTACTGGGGATTGCCCAGGGGTGTTTTACTACTGAGTTACATCCCCAGTCCTTTTTTAAAATCTTATTTTGAAACTGGATCTCACTAAGTTGATGAGGCTGGACTTGAACTTGCCATCTTCCTACCTTGGCTACCTGAGTTGCTGGGATCATAAACCTGTGCCAACACATCTAAAACAGTGTGGCTGACAATTAACAAGCAAATGGAAAATTTGTGAGTTTTTAGATACAATCATACATTTCTCACTAGATATAAAAGTTGTCTTCAATTTTCTGCTGGGCATGGTAGCATATACCTGTATTCCTAGAGGCTCAGGAGGCTGAGACAGGAAGATTACAAGTTCAAAGCCAGCCTCAGTAACTTAGTGAGGCCCTAAGCAACTCAGTGAGACTCTGTCTTTAAATAAAATACAAAAAAGGCCTGGGGAGGTGACTCAGTGTTAAGCACCCCTGAGTTCAATACCTGGTACCAAACAAACAAAAAAAAGTAGTCTTCAATTTTCTTTCTTTTTTCTTTTTTTTTTTAAATGTGATCAGGTCTCTTTATTTTAAACAAACTTTAAGAAGTTATTTTTTTCCATAGCTAATTTTTAAATGATTAAACCTCACTGGTTACAATATATTCAATTAAAAAGTAAAGGTGATTTTCTGAAATATGGAAAAGTAAATAAACATATATGATAAATATTCTTGAGTGCTATTTAGAAACATTAAATAGTTCTTTACCTCTTATTTTATTTTTTAAATTTTTATTGTTGGTTGTT